ATGAAAAATCGGTACAGACGAACACACAGACACACAGACGCACGGACACACAGACACACACACACACAAACAACCTCTCGTCAATATGCGTTTTTTGCATTGCATAGCTGCAAAAAACGCATAATAATTAGCGATGCAAATTAGGGCAACCAGTGCGACATTGTGTTTCGCTCAGTTTCCGTTAGCAGATGTTTGCTGTTAAGAATGTTCACTGCTTTATAATTTTCGTGTGTGCAAAAATATTCAGTAAAATGGCTTCTGAGCTACGAGATTTCCCACCGAAAATCCCCTAGGCGCCGTACGTGAAACATCGGCATTCGTGTGGGCTGAATTTGAATTTTTAGGATAGCACAAGAATAGAAAACCTTCTCCACTAATTTCAGCTTTTCATTTTGCTCATTTTTAAGTGTAGAAAATTTTCCGCCAAAACTATCACGTGTTCCTACGTGAAACACGAGACTGCTTGTAAAGTGAAATTAAATTAATGCAGTCGCACGGGGGTATGAAACATCTAAAATTTCATCTTTCCAGCTTTACTAGCTGCACGGGTTTGAGAACTAGTCTGTAAAATGCAGCTGATCAAAATGGTAAAAACGTTAAAGTTCGTTTGTTATACAGCATTTATTCCAATATAATTTCTTTTTCTGTCGTAATTCCATAAACGTAAACACAATTCGTTCTTTTTTTGCCAAATATTAGATATTTTGATTAGAATCTTGACTGCAATTTATGTTGCTTTTTCGGCGAGGAGTTTGTCGTGACAACTTGCAAAAGTAACAATTAATCAAACGAAAATAAGAAGTGGCATGTTGTTTATTCCTAAAACAAATCCGGAAAATGCTTTTACGCGAGATGCCCAAGAATCGACGAACAATCACGTGGAGAAGGGAATCAGTGTTGTATCTGGGCTCTTTAAAAAAAAGCGCTTTGAGAAATGCTGAAATAATCTTTTTTTAATATATAGATACTTTGAAAAAGCTGAAATTTTTTTATCCTCGTGTGTTGGTCAAAGCAGTGGTCAATACAGATGTTGCATTGGTCAGAGCAACTGAAAAAGTGCCCAGCTACGTAACTGGAGAACTAGACCATGAACTACAAGGCCCAAAAATTCCCATGTGTCGGATTTTTGAGTGCGAGGAACGGATTTATATAAATGTCCTTGACTTTCCCAAAGTCTAGAAAAAAAAGACAGATAAAAGACATCTATGGCATCAAGGATACTCGCTCTTCCGAGGAATTCCGCCCAGACAAGCTGAGATCAGAATTTGGGGTTCTTGTCAAATCAAGACCAATTTATCATCAAAACGAATGAGTAAATCATAAAAGGGATTGCTAGTCACGGCTAATGGTTTCCTTCTCGATTATAGAACGGACTAACATTTCCACCGGTGACCTCCTGGCACGAGTCGAAAATATCACCAATCATTCCTGAAAATGCATGCCAATCGGGAATGACCAGCTGACCCTTCAGTGCTCTTGCAATGATCCCGATTGCATCGCCAACGCATCTAAACATTCACTCTTACACACTATCGTGGTACCAGTTGGAACTATCTGTGACCAAACGCCCAATATGATTCCAAATTTCACAAACCCAGTAGAACTCAACCTCACCTCATTGATCACTCCCTCTTTCGCTACTTGGAAGCAAGCTGATGGCGTGTTCGACTCTCTGGTAAATGCCAGTACCAATTTACCATCGAAACGAATTTTGAACGAATCCCAGAGCAACTAGTTGTCCCATTGCTGAAGTGGGACCCTTGACAAAATCGTCATCCCCGATCACGTGGCGTTCCCCACCTTTGACGAAAAATTACCTCTTAAACATTTCCCGATCCAGTTTCTCGCTAATCGGCTCATTAGAAGTTGGGTCGGTTACGGACTGTTTCCGTTCCTCATGTCGTATGGCACGCAAAAATTCTTCCAATCGTGGATCGTCACGCCTAATTCCGGCATCGTAGAGTGTCTGAACATGAACTGTTACCATTGCTTATAAAGTCAAAAAGATCTGTCTGTGGCGCGACTGTTTCGCGCAATTTTGTTACAGTCATGAATAAGTGTATTTTTGACATTTCTCCGTTTTCACACCATATCCAGCATTGTTGCGTGGACTTGTAACATAAAGCCCACACTTTTTCCGATACTTTAATCAGTTGTTGTTTCATTGTCGCGTTTCTTCTCGCTATGCCCAAAAAACATTACTGTCCCGCACCCTCATGCTATGCTTTGCTTTTTTCTGTGTTACTTTTGCAAATCCTATTCATTCTTCCTACCGAACAAAACCAAAACCATATAAAATTTTTTGAGAAACAATACTTTTGTTTGATTTTCCAATGAGGGATGGGAATAGGAGTTCCAAATAGAAATTTTGAAAACAAAAATGAAAAGTAGTTACAAAAAGAAAGACTTGTGAAGCATCAGCGAAAGGAAGTTTCAGGAGTTGGATAAAGAAGTGGAAAACTCGGTTAGATGAAAACAAAATTAAGCTCGAAGCTTAATTGCATCAAGAAGCGAAGGAACAGAAAAGCAATTTTCTCTCGCTGAACCTGAGAAAATTATAATCAAAAACCTGAAACTCATAGCCAGTTTGGCTTCATTTGCACTCTAAGCTTGTTAATGAAAAAACTGGATGCTGTCAAATTTAAAAAACAAATTAAGATCTTGGTACGAATCAGTGGCAGCGCGGAAGGCATACCTCAGTTTTGAGGTAAATGAACCATACCTCACCTGCCGGCGAAAGAGACTTTCTACTCCATTACCACCCCTTCACCATCTTCTCCTTGATTTAATTTGCTGCACTATTCACGAGTCGTTTTTTTGACGCTTTCATTCCAAATTTAACACTTTCCAACAGTTAGTTTTTTGAAAGGTTTCTGATTATCTGCCAGATTCTGCTATTCACAACCCCAATTTTCGTACTTCCTCCGCCCCGGTGATTGTAGTCGTGTTTCCAAAGAATCACCGGTCACCCTTTTTGATATCTCAAAAAATATGCGTTTTTAAATTTCTGCTAAATGCAGTGTCCAGTTGACACCACGATTGACCCGTAAAGTTTGCCATACTGAAGGTAGCGAGAAAGGACAGCATCAGACTAATTCACGAAATTACGTACTTTTCAAAAGTAGAGACGTTTCCCGAGGTAACTTACCCAAAGTAAGGGAATTCCCGTACAGCCGAATTTCAGTATAGCCCGGTTCCGGATTTTACTCTTTTTATATAAAGGCACCGAATGTTTCTACGAGAAACATTGAATGGGAAGTTAATAATTTTTATCCCATGATTTTAGTGCTAGACTTGGAAGAGGAGTTATTGCAGGATGCTGTAGCAAGCATTTTACGTCAAAAATTGAAAATGATTTTCGTTATAATCTTTTATCGCGTTCTCTAAAAAAATCACTAAAATGAAAACCTTCAGCAGTCCTGTAAGCGACAGTGTCCCCGTGATTGGGCTCTGGTAGAGATCGAAGACGGCATCTGCGAGATGCGAGGCACCGCGTGAACTGACCGATTCGGCCGAGAATTGACGTTCACGCGCGTAATTCATTCGTAATATTAATCGCTCGTTAAGCCATCTGGCAAACTGATCTCGGATATAATCCAATCTTGCAGCTCTTTGAGCACGATATCTGAAGCGTGAATTCAGCCGGTTTACTGATGGGCGTCACGTGTCAGCGAGTACTTTCGAAAAAGAAAGCGTTCACTGAAGAAGCTGATGGTGGGAGGCCGCCGTTAGCTAAAACATAATGGCTTCACTGGCATAACTGCGCACCGGGGATTCGATTGTGAAAAATGGGAGAAAAAAAGGAAAATCGAGATGAAAACCGGAAAAAATTAGGAAAATTTGCTTTATCTTATGTTGGCCATTAAAGCCCATTATTGCTGTTCAAGAAATCATCGTATATGCTTTAGCGGTTGGATTATGACAAAAAAAAAATCCGAATTCAGCTGATGCTTAAACCTCGCTTCATTCCCAATATATTTTAAAATTTTGAAATGAACAATAAAAATTAGATAATTGCGGGAAAACATGATGTCAGACCGAAAGGAACTGTTTTCTTCCGTTGTACACAACTCCGTGAATTCGAATTTATAAAACCAGCGGCCAAAAATCCACATTTCCAGAAATTTTGTTTAAGGAGTTTACTACTGTTGTTTTCATATTAGCACAGGTTTCAGAAACTTATCTCCCTCACTGATAAACGGAGAGAGAAGGAGGTGAGTTTTTGAAAACTTTGTAAAAATTGTAGAAAATGAAATGAAATAGCCAACGGCGACACGAATTTGAAGCCAGAAACCGCTGACCCTTCAAAACAGAACCTAGAAAACTCAAAGTTCATAGGCCAGAGCGATATCTCAGCCATTCAAACAAGTTCGCTCATAAGAAGTTGATGCTTGCTTGCCGCAAGAAGACTGGGTGTGTCGAGAGAGGAAGGTTGAGTTGTTCTCTCAACGACCTTCCCAGTCGCCGCCCTCCCTCATTTTCCTCATCGTATGGAGAGAGGCGGAGGCACTCATCCTTATGGCACATATTCGTATACATCGCCAATAGTTACCCAAGGCTGTTCGATAGGTGTTCAAACGTCGAAGAACTAGTCGAACTAGACAAGGACAACCTTAGGAAAAAATAGTATAGGAAGGAGGAAGGGGAGAAAAGTCGCGCTTCATATCACGTATTTTCACGCGATACGTCTCACGTTCTTGGATGAACTGACCGTTCGAGAGCGGGCCAAACACTGGAATGATATGCGAATGCAACATTTATATACCTCTATAACGGAGCACAACGAACCGACCCCACTGAAGCAACCCAAACATCAAATATCGAAGATATGCATAAAAATA